CTTTTGTCCCAGGTGCCCAGCTAATTGCTAGTAAGCAAACTTGTCTTGAAAGTGTCGTGTTTTCCAGATTTTTTTTGCCAATGCTGTCAGAGCTTTCATTTTGATGATTACAGCCTCAAGGCTTTTTTTTGGTCAGTCAGCTGTTTCTGGTTTGTGGCAATGCTTGCCAAAGCTTGAATTTGATTTGATTCAGAAAAGCTCAGCAATGTGGCCCAAATATTTTTTTTACAGATGCAGTGGTACATGACAAGCTCACCAATGCATTCAATATTCAAAGCCTATATTGGGATTCACCTCTTGCTTGTTGACATCACACATGTGGTGAAAAGCATTTGTATACAAGTTATGTATATATGCTTGCATGGTCCATTTTACACATACAAGTTTCAGTGTAGCTTGGTTAGGCATGCCTGACCTTTCACAACTGCAGAGATTCAAGCAGAGGGCTCCCTTCTGCTCCCAGTCAGCCTTGGAAGGTATATTGGATTTGGCATCAAAGGAAGGTATACCTGAGAGCCACAAAAGGAAGCAGATCAGACAATCTGTGGAACAGACCATTGAGGCCCTCAACACCTATGGACCTCTCTTGGTTGCAGCCACTGCCATGACTTTGGCAGAAGGGCCTATGGACATTGTTTTTGCAAACATTTTCAGTTACATTGCTGGTGCCTATGCTGTTGGTGGTTGTTTTGCAACATTTTTGGAAGAGGTCCACAGCAACAACCCCAGTGGATACAATACACCTTGGCATTGTGTTCTGTATGCAGATGAAATCCACCCAGGGAACCAGCTAGCTGGCTCTTCAAGGAAATCCTGGGCACTGTATTTCTCATTTGCTGAATTTGGACCAATGCTTTCAAATTCAGAAGCATGGTTCACAATATTTGTCATGAGAAGCGACCTGGTGGGGAAATTGGCAGCCAACATTGGCCAAATTTACAGGTTGGTGCTGGAGCACATGTTTGACAACAAACAAGCACACCCCCATGCTGGTGTGCTACTTCACAGAGGTGCAGCTAGAATGAAACTCTTTTGGACAATGGGATTCTTCATACAAGATGGTTCTGCTCAAAAGTTTACTTTTTCAAACAAACAGGATTCTGGGTCAAGGATATGCATGGCTTGCAAAAACATTATTGTGCTGACACAAGATGAAGAGAAGGGTGACAAAGAAATTGCCAAATTTACAAAATACAGCCAGCTTGACATTGCCAATGACCAAGAATCCTTGATAGCTGGGACAGAATGAAGTCAAGGAAGAGTTTGTCAAAGGCTGAATTCAAAAGGTGGAGCCAGGCTTGTGGCATAGACTATCATGAACAAGCTTTACTTTTGAGCCCCACTTTGAGACAGCAGAACCTCTTGAAGCCCATTACCCAATACATGCATGACTACATGCATGGTCTTTGCAGTAATGGTGTGATGTCTTGGATTGCATTTTTGCTCATCCAATCACTTCATTCCAATGGTGTGGATGACATTTGGGAGCATCTGCATGGATATGTTCAGCTTTGGAACCAGCCAGCCATCCACAAAACTGACTTGGGCAAGTTGTTTACAGCAAAAGCAGTGAAGGGACACAAGGAAGCCAACAAATTCAAACGCTCAGCTTCTGAAATGCTGTCCTTGTACAAGGTCCTTGCACACTATGTTCATACATGCTGCTTAGCAACTGGTCTTTGTGTTTTGGCTTCACAATGCTATTTGGCTTGGTGCTCTGTGTTGGACTATTGTGTGGCAATCCCTGCCTTGGCAACTCCAGATCACAAACAATTGTTGGCAGTTGTTGAAAAGGCATTGGATGCCACTGTTCAAGCTGGATGGTCTGAAGAATTCAAACCCAAAATGCATTGGGTGCTTCACACCAGCGACAGTTTGAAGAAGCATGGCCAGTTGGTTGCTTGCTGGTCAATGGAAAGGAGACACAAAACTATAAGAAAACATGGTTCTTTGCTTACAAATACAACCCATTGGGAAACATCTCTGACCAAAGCTGTCATTGCAGAGCATTTTCATCTTCTGGGAGAAGAAACAGATTTGTTCAGAAAAGGCTTCTACTTGGAGAACATGAGAAAGCCTTCCCAGAAGATGCTTGCATCTTTGTGCAAGCATGGTTTGGTACCTGCAGGTGGGACCTGCATGCACAGTAGGTCATGTAGATTGGCTTCTGGTGCCACAATCACTTGTGGTGATGTGCTTTTGCTTGCAGAAGGGAAGACACCACCTTTCACTGCAGCTCAAGTTCATGGTTTTTTCAACCTTGACAGTGGAAATACCAATGTGGCACTTGTAGAGAAATACAAGCTCAATGATTGGAGGCCTGCACAGATGTGTTCAACTTGGCTTGTGTCCTCACCCAGGAGCTTCTGCCTTGTTATCTTGGAAGAAATTCTTTGTGCTGTGACCTACAGCTTTGCCAAAGGCAAAGTCACATGTCTCACCCCACCATTTTTGCAGCTGTGCAATGAAAATGTCAAGTGCCTGTCGGACTGGGAATTCACATGGTTGACAAAACCCAATGGGTTATATAATTTGTGGCATGTTTTTTTTTACAAGCCTGCAAGGGCTTTTGTTTCTTGGCAAGCCTGCAAGGGCTTTTGTTTTTTGGCAAGCCTGCAAGGGCTTTTATTTTTTTTTGAAAAGTTTGCCTGTTGAAGGCTTTTGTTTTTCATAAAACAATTTTGCTATGTATTGCAATGTGGTGTGTGTGTGCATGCAATGATTGGAATTTAAACATTAATTTTTCAAATTGTCCTTAAACAAATAATCTATATTTCCTTCATTTTGTAACTTTGCTAACTAGTTACTAACTAGTTAATAACTGTTAGCTAATTACCTTAATTCTGCTAACTAGTTAACAACACCCCAGCCCATCTAAGTTTGCGCGGTTTGCGCCGTTTGCGCCGTTTGCGGGGTTTGCGTGGTTTGCGCGGTTTGCGCCTTTTGCGCCGTTTGCGCCGTTTGCGTGGTTTGCGCGGTTTGCGGGGTTTGCGCCGTTTGCGCCGTTTGCGCGGTTTGCGCCGTTTGCGCCGTTTGCGTGGTTTGCGCGGTTTGCGCCTTTTGCGCCTTTTGCGCCATTTGCGCGGTTTGCGCGGTTTGCGCCGTTTGCGCCGTTTGCGCCGTTTGCGGGGTTTGCGCCGTTTGCGCCGTTTGCGCCGTTTGCGCGGTTTGCGCGGTTTGCGCCGTTTGCGCCGTTTGCGCGGTTTGCGCCGTTTGCGCCGTTTGCGCCGTTTGCGGGGTTTGCGCCGTTTGCGCCGTATGCGCCGTTTGCGTGGTTTGCGCGGTTTGCGCCGTTTGCGCCGTTTGCGTGGTTTGCGCGGTTTGCGCCTTTTGCGCGGCCCCCCCCCCTTAAGTCTCCGTTCGTGACTCTCGGGTTTCAATTTCCGGGAAAGGACCAGCCACCTCCCCCAGTACTAAACTAGTACTAAAGTACATAGAACTCAGGTAGCCTAGGCTACCTTTCGTGACTAGACATATTTTGGGATGATGTTGCAGGTTGTTCTGCACCAGGCGCAACAGGGCTAAAATGAATCAAGGGAGACTCCCTAGGAGACATACCTGTTGGTTGCCTAGGTGGTGTATTGATTGGGGTGGCTGATCCATCCAAAAGGTCTGAAGTGAAGGGGTTATTTCGTTGACCCTCAAACGAATCAAATTCCGTATGGACGGTCATTGGTGATTCAGGAATTGGAGTTGGGGTTGCCACAGGTACTTCATGGGCATTCCGTTGCTGAATTAAGGCCAATTCAGACTGTAGCCTAGCAATTCTTATATCCTTTTTCATTAACTGGCTATCACGGCCAGCCAGTTGTTGTGCACAAATTGCAATTTGTTGTTGTAGTGGTCGCATATTTTCCGTGACCCATTGTTGAGCCCTCTCTTGAACTGAGGCCCTATTAGCTAATATTTCCCGTTCAGCTTCATCTCTAATCCCCTGAACTTGTTGTTGGGCCCTCATCTGAAGAAGTTGAAGGTTATTATCCCTCTGCTCAATGGCAGCCCTAGCTTCCTCCTGTTGGGACAAGTAGGCGCGAGTGGCCTGGTCTTGGTATGCCGCGGCAGCCTGAGCGAAGTCAGTTTGTTGTTGCACGGCCCCAGCATGGATGGCGTTGGCAACCCTTTGGGCGTGTTGAACTTCTAGTTGAGATGAGAGTGCTACATCAGCAGCATTATTAGCTATTATTGATGCATGATGCGCTTGGGTTACAGCGGCACCTGCTAAGAAAGAAGCTTGTGTTGCATTCAGATCAATGGGAACATTTGGATTGTATCCACTGCTGCTACTGGGGTCTGGACCCGGACGTGCTCTCTGCCTAGCCCTACCTCTATCCTCCATGCTAGTATCAGAAGATTCTGCTTGGGTACTTCCAGATGATCTTCGGGGAACAAGTGAAGAAGCAACGGCAGGAATTCTTGGGCCACTTGGCATTTTGGAGTCTTCTGGAGAGCTCCTAGACCTATCCATACCTGAGGACTCACTTGGCGGCGAAATCCCAGTTGGCATGTTTTCCAAGCGGACCAGCACGAATGGGTCCTGGCGCGAGCAAGCTCAAGCACCTCCCAGTGAAACAACAAGACAAGGACACGGACGACCGAAGGGCACAGGTGTGCCGAAAGACGCGGTACTGGGCGTGCAAATGGCACAACCTCAGGCGAAGCGAAAAGACACAGACAGGCAAACTATACAAGGGCGAGCTTTTTGTTTTGGATGGCTCAAGCCCCTACCAAAGCACTCGGTGTTGCCTACTTTGTGCGGGTGGAGCTTTGCTACCACTTCCGCGGCTGTGTAAATTGGTTAGGCCGGAGCACGGTAGCTCTGTGGTTTTGGAGAATGTAATCTACTCCAACTTGGCGTACCCAGGAGGTGATTACTGGGAACCAAGACAGGGATGGAGAGGCGTAGAGTAAAAACACTTGGGGGCTATGGATAGGAGGTGCCTTTCTAAGAAGTGGTTTCTTCCCAGATTGGACGGCCAACCTAGCTCTTTCCTCAGGAGTTCCTAAGCCTGGAGGCGCTGGCTTTGGGGGCTTTGGAGCAGGAACTGACGATGTTCTTCTTGGAGTTGCCGGTTGAACTTCACGATCTCCCGGAGCGGACACTGGCCTTGCAGGTGGAGGGCCAATCGAAGAAGGTGGGGCTTTCTCTACTGGGATGTCGGGAACAAAAACTCGTTCTTTAGATCCGTCGGAGTAAGTGTATTCTCTGTAGTGTCGGGAAACTTTGGCAGAAATACAGTTTTGGCAGCAGGCTTTAACTGCTTATTGCTGCTGCTGGGTGCAGCTGGTGATGCGGCCCTAGCCCTAGATCTTGGCCTATCAACGGATGTTGCCTCTGGCTCCAAGAAACTTCCAATGCTCCCTCTAAGAACTGTTGGAGTCTTTGGTGTTGCCGGCAAGATCGGCTGAGGCGCTGTAACAGCAGCCCCTTCCGCTTCAAAATCCTCACCTTCAGGCAGTGCTAAAGGCGCTTCCTCAGAAGACTGGGCGTCTTCCGGCTCTACTTCAACCTCAACTTCTTCGACCTCTTCCGGAGATGGTTGATCTTCTTCTTCAGGGGCTGAATGCTCTGAGGGTGTGCGTGGAGCTACGGATGCTGGATCTTGGGGCGGATAAGGTGCAAATCGTCTACGGGTTGTGTAGGTTGCACGTCGGCTGGCTCTCGGAGCGGAGGCAGTGGTTCTCGCGCCTGGTGCCCTGTGCTCAGGTTCGACAGGTGGGTCAACAAGCGGATAAACCTCAGTACGCAAGTTGGAAATCAAGGCAATATTTTTATTTGCAAGTGATGGGTCTCTCCAGACTGCGTCGGGGAAATCAAAGGGGTCACTTGACAACAACAGGCACAGTGTTAGGCTCTCGAGATGTTCGGCCAGGAGGTCGTGCAATCTGAATCCAGGTGCCCTCACTATTTATCACAACCTGAGGATCGACAGGTCTGAGTACTAAAGGTCGGGCTCCTAAATTCGGGGCTAATGTACCCCCTCTAGCCCTCCGCAATAAGTCGGTGTCCTGGTCCTCGAATGACCCGTCCGGTCTTGGTGTTAGAGTGACAGGGACTCTTGACCTCGAACGACTAGTTGCTTTAGGGGTGGATGGCTTAGATGAGGCAGCCGACTTATCGATAGTCCCTTCAGGCAGTGGCTCTGCCGGAGCGCTGGTTTCCGCTGGACCGGTTGTTTCAGCAGCGGCTCTTTCAGCGCGGTCCAAATCTTCTCTTGTTGGCGGGAATGAGATGGTGGCGGAGGAATCTCACTATCTGGAACCACTCGATCTCCTCTAGGTGTTACAGGCCTTGGTGGTCGCTTGGGCGGTGGGCCTAAAACCTGGTGAAAATCTCTATGAGGTGGCACAGGGGGAACTGGATAAGTTGGTGGTGGGCCTAATTTAAATTTAGCGGACTTAGCAACTTTTGGTTCCGATGCTTTCGGCTCTGATGGCGCGGAACTGGCCGCTTTACCGTCGAATGCTTTAGGCTCGGATGCTTTGGCCTTTGCGGCCGCGGGCTGTTGTTGCTTTGGTCCTGGTGAATTAGGGCGCTTTTTCAGCAGCCCCTCCCGCAACGCAAGGTGGTGGCACACTTGCAATCGACTCTGTAACCTTCGGCCCTACCGGATGCTCAACAGCACGGAGTGACGGCGTCCACCCAGGTGGTGGATTCGAGGGCTCTTTCGGCTGCTTCGGCTGAGCTTTTGGTCGAGGCTTCGCCTTGGGTTCACGAGGAGACGGCGTGTGAGTTTCTTCGGATGAACTCTCAGCACGCTGTACAGCAGGATCTACACCA